GTATGTACGTATGTTGTTTGTTATATGATATATATATATATATATATATATTGATATATTTATATATTAATATATATATATTTGTGTGTATGTGTGTGTGTTTGTGTTTATTTGTTTATACATATATATATATGTTTGTATGTATTTATGTATGTATGTATGATTGTTTGTATATGATTATTTATATATATATTGATATATTTCTATATTAACATATATATATATGTGTGTGTGTGTGAGTGTGTTTGTGTGTGTATATGTGTGTGTGTTTGTTTGTGTGTGTGTTTGTATATATGTACATATATCTGTATATAAACCTGTATGTATATGTATGCATATATATATATATATGTGTGTGTGTGTGTGTGCGTGTATGTGTGTGTGTGATTGTGTGTGTATGCATGTTGTCAGGTATACATATATATTTATATAATCATATACTTTTCTGTACATGCTCACCTACATATTTATATATGTTTATTTCAATGTATATATGTACATGTATATGTATGTATGTATATATTTTTGTTTCTATTTATATGTATATGCTCATATTATAAAGTCATGAGTACATGTATAGGAATGGTACGCAGCTGTATGTATGCATATATATATATATACATAAATCTATATATATATATATATATATATGTATGTATAGGTATAGGTATATGTATATATATATATATATATATATGTCTTATGTCTATGTATGTATATATATATATATATATATGTGTGTGTGTGTGTGTGTGTGTGTGTATGTATATATGTGTATATGTATATATGTGTGTGTGCGTGTCTGTGTCTGTGTCTGTGTGAATATGTATATGTATGTGTAGATAAATGTGTATGTGTTCGTGTATATTAATGTGTGTGTGTTTGTGCATATAAATGTATCTATACAAATAAAATACTCTTGAACTTGCACACACGTATAATGAAGTATACATCTTCATTCTCTCTCTGTCTAAGCAGCCCATTCATATCTATATCTACCTTACCAGAAGTATCTCTCGTACGTGTGAGTAGCCTCCATCCTCATAAATCAAAGCCACACCTCTCTCGCACACTCTCAGACACCGAATCCGATGTGTCTAGCGCCCCTGCCAGTGTAGGAGAGACCAACAGTTTAGGGTCAAGCAGTGCTCCTATCAGCATCACCACAACCACCCCCCGCGGCACAGCCACAGACGGCACTGAGCCTAATCTGGTTATCCAGGACGACAATATCTTTATAAGTGGGCCTAGGCGGTCGCCTAGCAACAGCCCAGTGGGCAATGGACGTAGGTTGCAGTGTGTGGGTAGTGTTTGTGTCTGTGTGTGTGTGTTTCCGTAAAGTGTGTGTAGTGTGTAGTGTGTGTGTGTGTGTGTTTGTTTACGTGTAGTGCTCTGTGTGTGTGTGTTGGTTGTAGTGTAGTGTCTGTGTCTGTGTGTGTGTTGGTTGTAGTGTAGTGTGTGTGTGTGTGTGTGTGTAGTGTGTAGTGTGTGTGGTATAGTGTGTAAATATTGTGTGTGTGGCATAGTGTGTGGGCAGTATGCGTGTGTGTAGAGGGTGGGTTAGGGATGTGTGGTTTGTTTGAACTTTTATCCGAGAAGCAGTACATTCCCATGTATGTTAGCAAGCACATACATCCCAATATACGGAGGTGCATATGTATACATAAGCTCTATACTTTGGGTTTCTATTTAGCATTAGCGTGTGCCCGTTCCGTGTAGTAGTATAGCTTTGATGGCTGTGTATATGGTGATGCTACCGATTGTCTGTATGACTGTCCCGTCTCTCTCTAGATCAACGGCTATTTCGGCCGTAAGCACAGACAAATATAGTTCTTGCAAAGACAAGCATAGTTCTTGAATAGACAAGTATAGTCCTTGAATAGACAAGTATAGTTCTTGAATGTGCATGCGTGGTTGTACACACATCCACATTGTTCCTTAACAGCGCTGGTGAGTGTGGGGTTGCCCATGCGTGTGCGTGATACCGTTATAATCTGTTGCTTGTCCATTCTGATATTTGTCTATCCTTGATAGCTGTTCCTTTTCTTCTTTTTTTTTTTTGGTTGTATTGCTCCGTTTGGTTTCTGTTATGGCTTACGCTTAGCTTGCTTTTCGTTGTCACTTCGATTTAGGGTTCAGGGTTAGGGTTTAGAAAACCAGAACCCTTCCCTTTATCACTTCGTGTATGTGTATGTTTAATTTCCTTTATCACTATGTGTATGTGTCTGTTTAGTTTCCTATATCATTTCGTTTACGTGGATGTTTATGTGTAGGTGTGGTCTTGTTTGTGCGTGTGTATTTAGGGTTTTAGGTTTCGCATGTTTGCACCAGTGTCCAGCTCACTTTACTCAGAGCGTACACACTGTAATTGCTCATTCGTATACTCCATTGCCTGACAATACTCTCAGGAGCCAACTTTAGGATGCCTGTCTCACCAAGACCAGGCGCAGAAACCAGCCAGAAGGAACCCATCACTGCACAAAAGTAAGCGTGTCGACGTATGACACACATGTGTATATATGTGTGTATATACTTATATCAATATTTCTATTTATATAAATAAATATATATATATATATAAGAACCCATCACAGTGCAAAAGTAAAGGTTCCACGTGTGCTACACGTATATTTGTCTTATTCTATGTACCTCTCACGTGTGGTTTAGTCGTTGCGCTGGTGTGTGCACTCTGTCGTTGGTTGTGCTGGCTGTGTAGCTTGGGAATCCAGAATGTGATCATGTGCACAGGTGTGTGTGCTGTTGCCTTTGCGCGTTTCTTGTCGCCTGTTTGTGTTTGTTGTGTGGGCTATCCTTGTTCCTGGCTGCTCCACTTTTTCTTTTTCTTTTTTCTTTTTCTTCCTTTCCGCTCATTTTCTTTTCATGTTCTGGTGTGCATCCCAATTTCCTCCTCCCATTTAAGTTTATATATAGCACGCAGTCTATAACAATTCCTTAGTGTTCCCGCCTATCCCATTTAAAGCAATTCCTTTTCTGTTCCCTTCTGACCCATCTTGTTCTGCTGTTTACTCTGTCCTAAACTTTGGCTTTTGGACATGTGGTGCACTGCAGAGTCAAAATCGAGAGCGATCTGAGTGTGATTATGAGGAAAGCCCGCTATCTCAACATGCCCACCAGTCCACCCTACACGCCAGATATAGGTATGTGGTTGTGCATGCCATATACGTGACTTGCTGTATAGATTACACATATGTAGAATGTTTTAATGTGTGTGTGTTGTCCTTGAGATGTATGTGTGTTGTTGTCCTTGAGATGTATGTGTGTTGTTGTCCTTGAGATGTATGTGTGTTGTTGTCCTTGAGATGTATGTGTGTTGTTGCCATCGTAACAGCGTCGTTTATTAGGAAACAATTAATCAGCATGTGTAGGATACTAATATAAAACATCCTTAATCATAACAGCGTTGTTTATTAGGAAACAACTAATCAGCATGTGTGAAGTGACGCCCATCGCTGATCTCGAGGCGGATGACTGGGTGCATGCCACTCTCAAGAGCCTCAGTGCCAAATGCGACACGCTACTACAATTATTAGGAGTAGGTGGCCAGGTTTTGATTTGTGCTATTACCAGTTCTCTGACTCAGTATATGCGTATATATATATATCTATATCTATATCTGTATTTATATCTATATCTATCTATGTCTATATATATCTATGTATATGTATATGTATATGTATTAATATATGTATAGATATATATAGAAATAGAGATATACATATAAATATATATATATATATATATGTATATATATATATATATCTGTGTATATTTATATATATATATCTGTCTATGTGTGTGTGTGTGCGTCTTTGTCTTTGTCTGTGTCTGTGTCTGTTTATCTCTATCTGTGTCTATGTGTTTGTGTGTGTGTCTATGTGTTTGTCTGTGTCTGTGTCTGTCTACCTCTATCTGTGTCTATGTATGTGTGCTGTGGGTTTTACCACCCACTGGCGCTTGATCTTCCCAGGTGCACTTTTCTTAGAAACTGTTAACCAAATATCGGTTCAGTCACTGAGTGTTGCGATTATTTGTGTCTTGCTCATTATGTCGACTGTACGTCCTGTGACTTGTCGTTCGCTGCATTTGTAGCAGTTGTCATAAGCGATGTCCCATTATGTTTTGACTACGTATTTACTATGCATTAACTATATATTGACTATGTATTGACTATGTATTCCCTATGTGTGTACTTCCCACATACACCATCAGTGCATAGGCCATGCTTGGTAGTCATTTCTGTACGGCATCCGTAGTGCGCGTACTGCAGTTTATAGCGCGCTGCACGTGCATGTCACAGCATGATCTAACATGTCACTAACATCATAGCTAACGTCTCATTAACCTCATAGCTAACGTCTCATTAACCTCATAGCTAACGTCTCATTAACCTCATAACTAACGTCTCATTAACCTCATGGCTAACGTCTCATTAACCTCATAGCTAACGTCTCATAAACCTCATAGCTAATGTCTCATTAACTTCATAGCTATCGTCTCATTAACCTCATAGCTAACGTCTCATTAATCTCATAGCTAACGTCTCATTAATCTCATAGCTAACGTCTCATTAACCTCATGGCTATCGTCTCTTTAGCCTCATAGCTAACGTCTCATTAATCTCATAGCTAACGTCTCATTAGCCTCATAGCTAACGTCTCATTAACCTCATGGCTATCGTCTCATTAACCTCATAGCTAACGTTCCGTCACTTGTCACTTGCGGTTGTTGTTTGCTCGATGTGGTTTTGCAGACAAAGAAAGCGGACGTACCAGAATCAGCCGAGCGGCAACTGTTCGTATACATGACCATCATTCTGTCCAATACCTACCAAGGTATGTGGGTGCATGAGGTGTTGCACTCACCTACAGTCATATGTATATGTATATGTTTGTGTATGTATATAAATATATATATATATATATATATATATATAGATATAGATATAGATATAGATATAGATATAGATATTTATATATAAAGTGTATATATATATATTCATATACTCTCATATATGTATAATATATATATATATTTATATCAATCTAGATATGAATATATATATATATATATATATATACGCATAAGTATTGCGAGACCTCTGCATTGCATGATTAGTAGGACCGCACACTTGTGAGCGCTCTGGCTATGTCGATTGTGTATTGCGCCGTCGTGGCTATCTATGTACCGGCTGAGACCTGTACTGTGCGTGTGTGCATGTGTGCATGTGTGTGTGTGTGTGTCTAATGTCACTGATAAACTATTCTAGTAAGCTGTAGCCTGGCTTTGCTGGCATTTGCGCATGTGCACTGATAGAGCCCCTCTCGCGCACACTCTCACGCACTGCTGCAGATATGAAACACGTCTACCCGAATGGACTGAGAGAGAAACGTTTCGAAGTCACCAAGGCCCAAGCGTTCGACTGGTGGAAGGCGGAGTTCCCGGAGAAGCACTCAGTGAGCTGTATGGAGTTCATCAACGCGTTGCTCAAATCGTATCCCATTGAACCGAGCGAAATCCAACAGCTCAAGTCGTCTATTGACATCACCGACAACGGCCGCGTGTCGTGGTTTGAGTTCGATGTGTTCACGAGGCTGTTTCAGGTGTGTGGTGTGTGGTGTGTGTTATGTGGTGTGTGTATGTGTTGTGTGTTGTGTGGTGTGGTGTGGTATGTGTATGTGTATGTGTTGTGTGGTGTGGTGTGTGGTGTGGTAGTTAGTGGTGTTGAATGTCAACTCTCTCCGTTGCCGACAATTGACTTGTGCATTCGTTCTGTGTCCTCATATCCTGATGCCATCCATCTCTAAATATATGCCTGTCGTTATATCCATCTCTATGTAGATACCCATCTTCATACCCTTCATCTCCATACACATCGTCTTTACCACTTGCCATGTGTATTCATCTCTAACCTCATGCCTGTGTGCCTGTATTCATCTCTAACCTCATGCCTGTGTCTCTGTCTGACCCGTCATCCCCCGCAGCCGTGGGATCGCATCATCACCAACTGGCGACTGATCTCCAATGACCATCCGGGTTTCCAGAGTTACATCACCTACGAAGAGGTGTTGCAGCTCTTGGCTAAGTACACCTCCAAGCCAGGTACCACAGTTCGGTCCTTCTGTCTCCCCCACTGCCCTGCACTCTCATTTGCCCTGGGTTGTTGGGGTGTGTGTCGGGTGCTATTTTATTAGCGTTTAGAGTACTTTTAATGGGATACCTACCTATATAGAAGTTGCAAGAGATCTCCGCGTCGCACGTCTTGTGAGGGATGCGAAAGTATTTGTATAACGTTTAAGCAACACACACA